TTTACATTCAAAATGCTTTAAAAATTCCATTTACAAGACAATTGTTTATAATAAAATTCTATTCAATCGGTAGACTCATAACGATTGAAAACAATGTTTTTGTTTGAGTTTGGGTTTGACCAATTCGTAAAAAAAAAAAAAAAACAAAAAACAATTATTAAGACATGTGTGTCCGTCAACCTTAAACAATAATCTTTGTCAATTTTATTTTTCAGTCTTTATGATGGTGGATACTTGATCTATCTCTTATTGTTATATCCCCGGCAACGCTGGGCTCTACTACTAGTATATATATATATATATATATATATATATATATTGATAATATTAGTGATTATTATATATATATATATATATATATATATATATATATATATATAAATATAAAATATAAATATATATACATACATACACATACATATATATATATATATATAAGTTTCCAAGAGGATAGAATCCAGGAAGAACTCAATGTCCAGGACAGAGTAAGAATATAATATAAAAGGCTCAAACACTAATATTCCATGCTTATAATTTATTACATTGGAATCATAATTATGATCCAATTCATCAGACTTACAAATTCAAAAAATGTATGTATATGTATGCATATGTATATATATATATACACTACAGGTAAAATGTTTGGGTCCACACTCTATTTCTTTAAAAAAAACACCTGAAATGAGATATTTTTGTATTTTTTTTATTAAGATAACATTTCAGTAAATACAGTGTATTCGCTTTTATTTTTCCGTCTTTCTCCAGGTTCATCTTACAACCAAAAGTTCAAGTTTGGTTACATCTGTCCACAATACATTTGGATAAATTATGAATATTTTCTATGAGAAATGTTATGTTTTGTTTTCACCATTAACCTGACATCGGACTTTTTAAGATAACCAAAATTTTCAACTAAGTTATAGTTAAGTGTTTATTTTTCACCAAAACAAAAGTTAATACACTGTAGTTACTGTAATCCAAAGTGGCCCCAAAACTTTGTGCCTGTGATGTATATTTATAAAATGATTGCTTGCAGTTGACAACATATATATATATATATATATATATATATATATATATATATATATATATATATATATCCATTCATCTGCGAACATCTTTGTCTTCGGTGACTTTAATGCCCACCATGATATGTCACTTTAAACATTCTAAAGGTACTGATGTTGCTGTTATTTAGATATTAAATTTTTCCATTGCCCAATCCTTTACTCAAATCCTGGATTTCTGTACTTGTTTCAGTACTCATTTGTCGAGCAAAAACCAAGCAACAGGCTTCTCTACTTGATTTATTTCTTACCTTCTCTCCTCACTGTTGCTGAGCTTCACAATACTGTCCGCCTGGTAACTCTAACCCCCCTGTGGTAGCTATTGATATTTTGTTCCAATCATCTATTAAACAGGAACCCCCTATGCACAAGTCCATTACCAGTATGCTGTTTGGGATTCTCTCCATGACATTTTCAACCTCCCAATTGAAAATTGTGCCAGTCACTTTAGTTTCTTCTTGGATGAAAGCCAGCATGTATGCTTTCATCCCTTCTCAGAAATACAAGGTAAAACCTCAGTCTTCTTCATAGACACAAAGAAAAATGTGTCCAATAGTGCATGGCAAATGATCAAGTAGTAACCAACAACTGGTTTCAAAAACATCCAAAACATATATTAACATGGAGAAGCCAAGTTAGAAAAAAAAAAAAAAAATCGACTATATAAGTATCAGTAAGCAATTCAAATCAAAGTGCTGACTGCAGGAGTGACCACTTTCTAGTGATATGTAAACTTAGTGTGAAACTATAGAAATGAAAGTGAGCCATGGGAGCAAACAATTTGCAATGCAATAGACTCCTGAATGACCAGGATAGCATTAAAAGCAAAGACAATGGACAAAATGAGAATGGAAATTTTAGCTAATAAAAAATATTAACTCAAAAGACTTTTAATGCTGGCCAAAAACAAGGTTCATGCCAGTGGTCTGGGAGCCTCGTCAAAAGGGTATAAAATGACAGCCATTGCATCAGATGAGCAGAAGGGTTTGCAAGAGAAACTGGAACAAGAGAAGGGATTGCCAGAGAAACCAGCCCCGAGTGATATATGAAGAAGAGGTCATCAGCTTAAGAAGATATTTTTTGCTCTTATTAGAAAAAAATAAAGACAGATTGAGACTGACCTATTTCTAAGATGACTACTACTACTACTGCTACCAAGTTCTGACATTAATACTACTGAGCAAAGATGTTCTCCAGACTGTTACCATGATCTGCCTTATATACAAACCTTTGCTACACTAAATATCAAAGGACTAACCCTAAGCTCAATCAAATAAATAAATATATATTATTTGTTTTATACTCTTGAGTTAGTTCATTTTAATTCCAAAATTTCTAATGAATAAATACAAAGTCTCTCTTGCACTACTCTCCACAGATAACTTATTTTGGTGATGTCCAGTTTTATTACACAAACAAATTATGTTCAAATTTTATTTTAAATAAATCCAAATAGGCCATAGATATTTATATTTGACCAACACAATAACGCATGTACCTGAATAAATTGTTTTATTATTATTATGCTAATAATGACTTCTTAACATTTTATAAATATGCATCAGTCTTTCAACTATTGACTTTGTTAATTTTTCTACTTTTATGACTTTAGCATTATCTGCAGCCATTTTTATGACTTTACTGAATATTGTTTTTCATTCTCATATACATCTCTTTTAATGATTTCTATTGGATTAATATCTAGAGAGACTGGAGGTCAATTCATTAATTTAGCATCTTACAAAATTCTTTTTGGCATGTTACAGAGCATTATCTTGTCTTAATAAAAACTTTAGCTTCTCGTTTATGTCCCGTGTCACTTGAAAAGTATTTTGTCCAAGAACTTGTAATAATTGTCTGCATTTATCTTGACATTATCAACTTTGAGAAGAAGTATAATTTTACTGTTTACAAGATTAACCCAAGACATTACTGTTATTTTGTTTAACTACTTCCATGAAGGACTCAACTTCACCAATGTAGCTCTACATCAATCAATAAATTACTGTTGAGCACTCAGTTTTTGTATACTTCTTCACCTAACTTACACATTTCTCTTAATGATTTTAATGTATATGTATTATTGTTTCAGAATTAATTAAAATCTCTAGAACACTTTGCCAAAAAGTGCTAGAAGGCTAACAGGCCTATAATTACAGGGATTATATGGTGTGTCTGAGTTCTGGGAGTAACAGAAGAGGATTTCTAACAAGCAGAAAAGCAAAAAGGCACTTACTGTAAAGATAAATCACACAGGGTGGAAAACTATTTTATAGACGACACATTTTGCCTTCAGTGATTTGAATCTTACAGTCATTTTGGTATGAATAAAATATTTAGGTGGGAATATTAACATGTGAGTTTAAAATTAAGTAAAATAGTTAATTTTGTGCCATTAGTAAAAAATTAGGAACATTTCTGATAGAAACATTATTTTTTTATATACTCTATCAAAGCTGAGTTATTTTTGGGAAGTTATAGTCCGATAAGTTGGTGTCTTGAAGGAGGAAATTACTCTATCTACTGCAAGAATTGCCAGAAAGAATATATTGGAGAAAGCTCAAGAAGTTTAAACAAAAGACTATATGACCACAAAAGAGACATTTTAAAAAATAACACACTAAACACATTGATTGTTCACCATAATGAAACATGTTACTCTAATTAAAAGAGCCACAATAAATATACATCCAGATTCTTACTACGTTTCACAAATCTTGGCAGATTTTCCATTATTACAAGGTGGGATTGTTAATAGTTGATAGAAAGAAAAAGAAAAAGAATATAGATGAATTTGGTTAGATTGTAAAAAATTATTTAAAAAATTATTTGAAAATTTTTAAACTACCAGCATCTCTCATTTATGCATATGTGCAGTCACAGATATCAACAAACCCATTCCAATGAAGTCCTAATAAATGAAATGCTTCACAAGTAAATTTTTTCATTTTGTCTTACAATTTCCTCAATATATATATATATATATATATATATATATATATATATATATATATATATATTGTTGTGGAGTCCAGACATTAATATTAGACAAACCCTGCAATCATTAAAATTGAAGAAGTGACACAGGACAAGGAAAGGATGATGTCAACAAGGAGTTTAGATAAAATATGCCAAAATTTATTATTGGCATAGTAAATGGAAAATACAATCAAAGAATCCAGATGTTTTAAATACCCTGGGTAGACATGTTGGTAGTTAAGTGTTGGTCTTAGATGCATCAAGAGTTGATGATGACCAGAGAAAACTGAGGGGTGCTGAAGGTTGATAGGTGATTAATATATTGGGTTGGTACTTGCTAACAATTATAGCACAGGGCAGATGGTTGTTGCTAGCCAGAAAATGAAGATGAAACTGCTTGCGAATTGTTGAAGGACAATACGCAGTCAGTGAAGGTCAATAGACAGTCAGTGTGTTAAGCTGGTACTAGCAGGCAGTCTTTGAAACCACTGTGATCCAAAACATGATGAGCATGCTAAGTGGATTGGTAGAAGACATGGCTGGTGGGAGTCAGTTGGTTTCTGGTAGTTGCTGCTGATTGCTGCTAATCACTGGTGGTCACTGTTGATCACTGGTCACTGGTGGTCGATGGATGCTAGTTGGTGGTCACTGATGGCTGCTGGTCACTGGTCCAGATATTATTCAATCATTTTCTTCTCCACTCCCATCTGAGGAGTGGCTGGTTGCTGCTGGTTTTATGACATAGGACAGTTCCAACAGTGCAGGGTTTTGATGCTACTTCTGGTTACAATTAGTCATGAAAATAACTCTAGGTTATGAAGTATAATGTAAGAAATTGGTTTGGGATAACCTGCATAACCAAAATGATGTACAGAATTAATAAACTTGAACAAATTGTTCAAGAGTCCGTTTGCTACAACAAAACAATAGAGGACTATATCATTAGCTAACCACATAGATAAATAGATAGATAGATAGATAGATAGATAGAATAGATGGGAAAGATAGATAACAGAGATGATAGAAGATAGATAGATAGATAGATAGATAGATAGATAGATAGATAGATAGATAGATAGATAGATAGATAATGAGCAGACCACAGAGATAGATAGATAGATAGATAGATAGATAGATAGATAGATAGATAGACCACAGAGATAGATAGAATGAGATAGATAGATAGATAGATAGATAATAGAGAGATAGATAGATAGATAATGAGCAGACTGCAGACCACAGAGATAGATAGATAGATAGATAGATATGAACAGATGATAGATAGATAGATAGATAGATAGATAGATAGATAGATAGATAATGAGCAGACTGCATAGATAGATAGATAATGAGCAGACTGCATATATATGTATTATAGAGAGAGAGAGAGATAGAGAGAGATAGAGATATGAACAGAATGGGATAGATAGATAGATAGATAGATAGATAGATAGATAGATAACTCTGTCTTTTATCATTCTCTATGAACAAAATGTGTAAATGTGTACAGAATTAATAAACTCAAACAAACTGTTCATGGTTAAAGTGAAAGAGTCCATTTGCTGCAACAAAAATAACAGAGGAGCATGTTGCTATGATATATATATATATATATATATATATATATATATATATATATATATATATTCTAGTTTATCCCACATGACTTTCCTGAAAAAAGACCTTCACTAGTGGACGCTCCTTATGCTTATAAATAGCGAATGATATTTTCCCTCCTTCTCATTCCTCTTTTACAACTCTAGCTATTTGATGTAGTTAATTATGGGAAAAAGTGTCCCCCACTGGGTTATGTTCACTTTCAATGTGTATTGCTTTTCTCTCATGGTTTTTTGTACTCTTTCACATGTAGGCTTATTTCCTTTGTACTCTTTCACATGTAGGCTTATTTCCTTTGTACTCTTTCACATGTAGGCTTATTTCCTTTGTACTCTTTCACACGTAGGCTTATTTCCTTTGTACTCTTTCACATGTAGGTTTATTTCCTTTGTACTCTTTCACATGTAGGCTTATTTCCTTTGTACTCTTTTCACATGTAGGCTTATTTTTATTTCCTTTTTATTTTGTACTCTTTCACATGTAGGCTTATTTCCTTTTCCTTTGTAGGCTTATTTTCACATGTAGGCTTATTTCCTTTGTAGGTTTATTCTTTCACATGTAGGCTTATTTCCTTTGTACTCTTTCATGTAGGCTTATTTCCTTTGTACTCTTTCACACGTAGGCTTATTTCCTTTGTACTCTTTCACATGTAGGCTTATTTCCTTTGTACTCTTTCACACGTAGGCTTATTTCCTTTGTACTCTTTCACACGTAGGCTTATTTCCTTTGTACTCTTTCACACGTAGGCTTATTTCCTTTGTACTCTTTCACATGTAGGCTTATTTCCTTTGTACTCTTTCACATGTAGGCTTATTTCCTTTGTACTCTTTCACACGTAGGCTTATTTCCTTTGTACTCTTTCACATGTAGGCTTATTTCCTTTGTACTCTCTTTCACACGTAGGCTTATTTCCTTTGTACTCTCTTTCACATGTAGGCTTATTTCCTTTGTACTCTTTCACACGTAGGCTTATTTCCTTTGTACTCTTTCACATGTAGGCTTATTTCCTTTGTACTCTTTCACATGTAGGCTTATTTCCTTTGTACTCTTTCACACGTAGGCTTATTTCCTTTGTACTCTTTCACATGTAAGCTTATTTCCTTTGTACTCTTTCACACGTAGGCTTATTTCCTTTGTACTCTTTCACATGTAGGCTTATTTCCTTTGTACTCTTTCACACGTAGGCTTACACAAATCATAAAACACAAATACACATTCTCTATTTTAAATGATTTTTATGTAATTAGTCTTTAAATGTTTTCTTCTTTTATTGTCATTGTATACTTTTGTTAATACATACATTGTCATTTGTTTTATATACTGTTTTGTTTTGTTCATTTATTATTCAGACTCAAAAAAATTATATATATATATATGTCAAATATTAAATTGATGGATATGAAATATCTAAAAAAAGACTTTGAATATTTTTGCCAGTCACTGTACTTATAATAAAGTTTATGAATTAGTCGCAATAAGAGATTAACTATAATAGAAAATTTCTAAAAGTATTCCTTATTAAGTCATGAACTCTCACCTTTCCAGTTAAAAGAAACAATTTACGGTTCCTTTTTGGTGTCACTGAAATGCCAGCATCAATATTCTTGGGCATTGTGGAGTGTTTATTTCTGACATTGATCATGGGAGAGTGTAAAGTCGGACTACAAATAAGAGGGGACCCCCACACACACACACACATATATATATATATATATATATATATATATATATATATATATATATATATATATATATATATATCCTACTTCTTTTATGTCTATCTTACATACTGTCTTTGTACTTAACTCCTACTTGATTCCCTAAGCAGAAATCGATCCAAAGAAAAAACAAATTGTACAGAACCAAGAATCTCTTTTTGGACATTTTCTCATTTCACTGCAAAAGCATACAACTTGGTAAATAGTAATTTACAGGCCAATTCGAATATCAGAGAACAGATTTTTCAGAGGACAATATTTGACCTGTAGAAAACCTTTTTTTTCTTTCCTACTTTCTTGCCATACTTTGAGAGCAACACTTGTTCAAATGAGATCACATGAAAAAGGGAATCAGAAAAGGCAACTGAACAATGTTGATCAGTAAAATTGAGTAACAGGTAGGTCAAGGTCAAGAAAGAGTAAACCCTTTGAAATCATTTTCAGGAAAAATCTACCTATACCCAGCTCAAAAGAAATAAAGTAACCAAAGCATTTTGTTTTGTTAGAATATAAACATATAATGCTCATTCTGTTCTGGTGAAGTTTATGTACTAGGAGAGTTCTATTCAAAATTTAGTAATTAACATTCTTATTTCAAATCTCATCATGATTCATGACCATTTTCATTACAAGGTCACCAATTGATAACTGAACAGAAGTCATAAACCTTTTTGACCAATCAGAATGTATTGTAGGATGACACAATGAATATTTTTATTTTTACTCCCACCAAGAATGTAAATATTTTACATTCAGCCAGTTCTTCTGATTCCTTTCCACCCATACATTTATTAGAGGCAGTAGTATCTATCTTCACTTACCAGCCAGCTACATATAGAGATTATACCCGGTACTTTAAAGAGACTACAAAACAATGTCTTGTTGCAGATGGTATATTGGCCTGCAAAGAGATATTGGAGGATGGAAGACAACAACAAACAAAGTGAAGGGTTAAGTAAAAACAAATATGTTGCCATGTTTATTATGTTTAAAGAAAATGTATTAACAAATATAAGGCTACTGTGCACTAAGTTTAAAAATATCTCTGCTTGATCATGTAGAGTTTGAGGAGAGTGTTGTCCTGAGAAAGACAGTTTTGCGGTCACTGAAGAGCATTGTTCTGAGCAGGACAGTTTTGTAAGTTGCTGAAGATTGTGGTTCTAAAAAGGATAATCTTGTAATCACTGAAGAACATTGTCCTGAAAAGGAAAGTTTATTGTATATCATTGCTGCTGGAAAGGATGGCTAGATCTGGAGGCCTGCTAGAGATGGCTTGAGCATCAGCTGATGGTGAGCTGGAGCTTTTGATGATGATGGCTGGAGATGTGGGACAACTCTCAACTGCTGGAACAGATACTACACTTTGATCCTAGTCACCTTGACCGTGAAAGGTAGTATGTGACATCAAGAAACCCATGTTATCGAAGGTGAATAACCAGAAAAGATTGTTATGAACCAAAGAATCAAAAGAAATGAACATTGTAAGAGTGGCAAGTGTAGGAAGAAAACCAGAAGAAAAACTGAACGACAAATGTTTGGTTCCAAAAGTGAAGCATGGTCATGGGTCTGTTATGGTGTGGGGAGATTTTGGAGGAGAGAGGGCTGGAGTTTTGCTTCACATCAAGGGAATCATGAAAAAAGAAACAATATTATTTGATTTTTCAAGGACATGCTATATTATCTGGTTTAAAAATAATTGAAAAAACACCTTTCAACAAGACAATGATCCAAAACATTTTTCTAAATTATATCAAAGTAACCTCAAGTCAAAAAAAAGAAACAAAATTTTAGAAATTATGATTGACTGTCTTAATCTCCTGATCTCTCTCTCTCTCTCTCTCACATTGATTTAGTTTAAATGAATTGGATAGAAGATTTCAAAGAGAATACCTAAAGAGTGAGAGTGAGCTTTTTCAGCTTGAAGATTATTTGGGAAGGTCTGCCATTCACTTTTTTCAAAGAAAGAAAGAATACCAAGAAAATGTAAAGAAGTAATTAAGGCAGGTGGTGGTTTTATTGACAAAAATAAAATATGATGCTGCATGATAATTTTTTGTAGTGAAGTAATTATTTTTGTTAAAATAAAAGCAAATTCAGTGTAGGTAGTTAAATTTTATTTTTACTTTAAAAAATACAAAAATAACTCATTTTAAGGTGCTTTTCTTAAGAAATCCAGGGTGTCCACAAACTTTCTCCCTGTAGTGTATATGTGTGTATGTATATGTTTAGATTAAATCCATTTTATTCAAGCTAGACTAGACTTTCGCTATGTGAATTTTCACATCCTTTTCAGTAGAATTTATCTCAATTCCTCGGTATATATTACATGTATTGTGTATTTAGGCAGAAATCCTTCTTTTATACAAGTTCCACTAAAAATGACTGACAAAGTATTGGGGTTAATTATTTACACAAAAAAGATAATCATAAGAACACAAAGAAAATTAAATAAAAAAATTAACCGCAGTATTTTTTAGTTGTTTTCAATATATATATATATATATATATATATATGTGTGTGTGTGTGTGTGTGTGTGTGTGTGTGTGCGCACACACACACACACACACACACACATATCAGTTGTTTTTGCACATCTTTATTTTTAATTTTAAATTAATATTTTTATTCCAGTTTGATAAAAATCTTTGAAAGTGGTTGTATTTGATTTAATAAAGTTTTTTCTTTAATGAATATATAGTTTTATTAAAGTTTGGTGATCATCTGAAGAAAAGAGACAATTATTTTAAATATTATCTTAGGGGTTCACTTACTTTTGCACAGCACTGCATATATCTTGAAACATCTTTGTCATTATATATATATATATATATATATATATATATATATATATATATATATTTTTTTTTTTTTTTTTCACTGCCAGTTCAAGAGAGACATTTGGGTCACTAACAAAAAAAGAATGTCTCATATCAAGAATATTTAACATTGAAAAACATAAGAAAAAATTAATTATTTTTAATAATATGTGCAAATCTCCATGCTTTGCCTGATGAAGATCATGAGACCGGAAACTCATGTAGCAAAATTATGAAAAATAAAGCATAATATCTTTTAAAAAAAATTCCACATTACAACTAAAAACGTTTGCAGTTTCTCTCTTCTTTTAATTTTACATTTTCTCTTGTTGGAACTACTATAACCTCTTCCCTTTATATATATATATATATATATATATATATATATATATAATAGGTATATTTAGGCAGTATATCTTCATTCAAGCATGTTTCATTGACTAATATAGACATATTATGTGTATTTATTTTTATAATAATCCTTTCTAGATCTCTAATTATCTTCTTGATGTTAAGACGAAATTCATCAAGGAATGTGCTGTATTTTTTTTAACTCAAGTACTTTTGATCTCCTTCAAGATTATCCTCAGGCATGAATTGTGAAGACAAATTTAATGTAATTGTATTCATTGTTATAGTGATGAATATGATCTGTTATATTTATTTTAAAATTAACTGTTTTGTAAACAAGCATTCCCAATCCAAGAGGAATAACCAGAAATGTTAAAATTGCAACATAGTAAATGGTATTAAATGTGTCGGAGTTAACTCCTCCTTCAGTCCGTTAACCCTTTCACCAGGGGTCTCTCTTCCGCTGACCCTTGACTTCTATCTCTTTTTCCTTCAGGATTTCAGCTATCAACCTCGAAATGTAGGCGCTAACAAGAGATAGCGTGGAAACACGCTAAGCACAATATACACATACGCACGCACATACAGAATATTCACACACACACGCATATACAGAATATTCACACACACTTCGTCCTTTGTACTGTTTCCATGTATTGTAACTTGTTATTAATATATATTTGTATATACATATATTATCGGTCTTGTGTTTTGTTTGCTTTCTTTTCCTTCTTCTTTGGACTTAATCAAAGTCCAACCTTTTTATATAGTTGGGCTCGACGGGCAGGAGTATCTGAACCTTACTTGCGTTTCTTCTACGTCTGACTTCTATCAACAACATAACAGCCACGCCATGAACCCTCAACAAGTGGTAACCGCCACGGCCCCTCTACAAATGTTAGTTAATTCAAATACATTTTAAAACATTGCTATTATAATCATAATAAATTTTTTTCAGTGTTGGTTGGTTGCTTTTGATGTAGAAGGCCTTAAGAATGTTAAGTTTTTTATTTATTTTCATGGTGTATTTGTGTTGTCATATATATGTATATTTACTGACAAAGAAAATATTCAGTACATAGTATTTCATAAGAAAATAATTTTGATTATTTCTACTAACCTAAAACTTGAACTGAATAAAAGCAAATACTTAGGATGAGGAGACATAAAAGAATTTTTAATGGCAAATACAATACAAAGTAACATGCAAAAATTTTGGATACATTCCAGAAATATAAATGAAGCAGGATTAAATTCTATTGAAATTGTTAATCTGCAAATTTCTGCTGACCAGAGAGAGCATAGCATGCACCATGAATGACAACTTAAAATGTCTATGTGTACTCTAAATGGTCAGTGAACCTCTGACTGGTACATGCAAATGTTTTCACGAAAAGGATTTTTCTCAAGAATTTTGTGAGTCAATAATTGGACAGGGAATATTAAAAGATTTCTTAGAAGATTGTCATTCTAATCAGTAAGATAAACATGGAAGAAACAGTCTAACTACTAATATATATATATATATATATATATATATATATATATATATATATATATATATATATATATATATTAAGACATTTTATGTTTATACATTCTTTTCATAGATACAAACTAAATGCTCTGTTTATAATAAACAGTATTAAACAACATTTACCGGCCTGAATGTCCGAGAAATTTTCATAGAAAATATTTATCCTCTGACAGGATTCGAACCTGTATGGAACCGTCATATAGCCTGACATGCCTTTTAACCGATTCGGACACAGAGGAGCGTTCGGTTATCACGGTCGAATTTACTGTTTTTAAACTTCAATCTTCCATGAATCTCTCACGTACATTCATATCTGCTCATGATGTATCAAATGTAAACAAATGACATCACACATTATGAAAATGAACAAAGTCTGACAATTATTTTAAGACATTTTATGTTTATACATTCTTTTTATAGATACAAATATTTATTATTGACAGAGCATTTACTTAAATATTTGTATCTATAAAAGAATGTAGAAACATAAAATGTCTTAAAATAATTGTTTGACTTTGTCCATTTTCATATATATATATATATATATATATATATATATATATATATATATATATATATATATATATATATATAGGGAAAATGTATGACAAAGTAGTAAAAGTTTTCTTGTGATGCATTTTGTCCTTTAGGACTTCATCGGACTAAATTTGTTATGTTGGTGCAACTAGACATGTGTATGAATGAGGAATGCTGGGAATTTTACATTTTATTTTCTTGAACTGGCATAAATTTTATTATCACAATATGTGATATCTAATAACAAAAGGACTGAAAAGAAAAAGTACCTAAATGTAATCGACTAGATATAATAAAAAAAAATTATATCTATATACACTCTATTCCTGATATTGAGCTCTTTTACCCATATATATAGCATAACTTAAAACTATATTTTATCATATATACATACATACATATATATATATATATATATATA